GAAAGAAAAAGGCCAGATGCAAAAGACCACATACTGTATGATTCCATAGAAATGGGAATTAGATAGTGGTGATGGTTGTATGATGTTGTAAGTATATTTTAAACCACTGAATTGTATACTTTAAAAGATGTGTGGATTATATCTCAGTAAAAATTACCTATGTTATTATTTCACACCAAATTCCTATTAGAAAATAGGATCATACATAAAAGTTTTAATTTTTCTTGTTGATAATAAGTTTCCTTGACTTGGATAGTACTTTCTGCTTTCTGTCCCTTTCCCCTCCTCCTTTCACACCTCTTTCTCTGCAGGCCAGGCAGACAGCCATTTGTAAATGCTTAATAAATGTTTGCCATTATTGATAAGTTTACAATTCTTTAAGAAGCAGAGAGTTTCAATAGGAAAGGTTTTATATCATAAATGTTTCCACAGCCTGGATTGAGAAACACTGATTTTTACTATCCATCAACAAACAGGGCTAGACATCTCTTCCTAAGCCAGACCTCGTGGTGATGCATTCTTGCCTGTATATTTAGTGTCCCCAGCCAACTTACTACCTCTTTATGGCAGGGATTGGGTCTTAACCCTTCTTTACATCTAGACAGTACTTCCCTAGCAGAAAGGATCAAGGAATGCTGGTTAACCATTACCTTAATGTTCCACTTAACACATAGTTCTTGAGCATCTGTCTGTTCAAGGCACAGTTCGCGTCACGTGTCTGTCTTCCTGCTGTGAAAGTGCCTTTAGGGCAGGACTAAATCTTATTCTTCCACATCTGAAGGCCCCACTCATTCAAGATTTGACAAATTTAATGGAATGGACAGTTTTTGAAGAGGAAAGTGAGGTGCTCAGACCTGGGCTTTGGGAAGAAGAATTTGTCAGCATAGGGGTTAGAATAGCCTTTCCTCCATAACTGCCAAGGCTTTGCACCAAGCAGACACTTTCTGCAGGCTCTCAGCATTCTGCACTTAAAAGTGAGAGAAGGTGGATACATGGCCCCCACCTGGCCTCTTCTTTGTCCACAAATCACAGGACCTAATAATGATTGGAGGAAATGCCTGCCCACGTGCACGCTGGCACTGGTGAGGGCTGGCGCAGCCAGGTTGCTGGTGATGGCCTCACCCTTCCAGCGGACTATGTTTAGCAGGGAGGCAGTGCCTGAAGGGAAGAGAAGGGGACAGAGAGCAGAAAGAAGGAGGCCTTTTCATTGTTATTTGGGATATTCTGTGCTTTAGATTTTTACATGATTTTTATGAATGAATAGTCATCTGTATGTAAATCAGTTTGATAATGCAGGCATTTTAAGGACTAATGCAGTGGTGTTGGGGTATATTAATCTTTATTTGTGTTGGTATATTAGTTAGCATATTCAGCTGTGTGTATCTGTGTGTTCACAGCACACCTGTGTGTGTTTAGCATATCTGTGTGTGTGGCACCTCTCTCTGCAGGTAGTATGTTTCTGCACACATGTGCATGCACATGTAGGAGCCCCAGTACCCCGACCTCTGTGTCAGTGAGACTAAGAACTCGTCTTTCAGAGTATCTTGATGTGTTTTTCCCATTCATTCTACAATCTCTTAGGTTTTTGTTGTTCCATATTTCCGTGAGTGTTCCCCACACTGAAATCAAGGCCCAAGCCACTTCTAAGGGAAGAGTGTTGGCCCACTGATCACTCATAGAGGCACTGTTTCTCCTTCTCCTGTCAGGAGCCAATCCCCTGCAGAGGAATGAAATGGGACACACACCTTTGGATTATGCTCGAGAAGGGGAGGTGATGAAGCTTTTAAGAACTTCTGAGGCCAAGGTAAGTCTCAGAGAAAAGAGGCCAGTGGTTACTCCATGCTGCAGTTAATCTTTTATTCATTAAATTATGTCAGGATCCACACCAAAGGCCACTTCTTTTTAGGTGATTATTGTCTATTTAAATACAAATCCAACCTCCAGTCTCATCAGGAATCAGAAACTGCCCCTTTTATGAACAGAAAGAGGCCTGGGCCACTTTTGGCTTCTGAGGACTAACCTTCAAATTTGGTTTTTAAGGTAGTGGGCTTTCTAGCTCCTTCTCATAGGAAGGTGGATAACAAGACAAAATCTTGGGCCCAAGTACTATTTCCCCAGGCCTAATGTATTCTGTAGCCTCATCAAGTAATCTTTTCCCATCTTCACTCCTTCTAGAACTATTCCCTGACCCCACCCCTCCACACACATTCCAGAGAGCCTGTTATAGAGTCTGAGCCAAAAAAAAAAAAATCTCCACCTTAATTTGATCTTCTCAACCAGACTTTTGAACCCCCTAAGAACAGGCTGCCTTCTGCACCTCCCAGCCACTGAGCTGTAACTCAGGAACCACTTGGCAGAATTCAGTAACTAGAATCACAAATCTCAGAGCTGGCAGGGACCTCAGAAATCATGAAGTCTAGTGATGGGAAATCTTATCGAAGTCTAAACAAGTAAGTCAGAGGAAAGTAGAGCTGTTCTGGTTGAAGGAGGGGTGGCTCCGTGCCCCACCCACCTGGCTTGTCCCTTCCCTCTCGGGGAGCTTCCTTGGAGGCCCTGCTGTGGGGCACACATTTTAAATCTCTGAAACCCAAAACAGATAACTTGTTTTCCTCCTGAGGAGGCTCGAGCCCAGGGGTATGTTGTAACTTGCCTTTGGTCGAGAGTGAGTGAGTGTCAAAACAAACTAACAGACATGAACGCAAGATCACGGCAGGACTGGAACTAGAAGACCTGGTTTCTCACTATCAGTCTTGTGCTCTTTCCAGCATTGTGGAGTCTCTTGTGGGCAAATTGGCTGAAGTACTTTGATATGATTAAGGATGGCAGATCCCACCTAGTGGCAAATGTCCTCCGTGTCTAGAGTAAGAACACTTAGGTCACTGGGCTGAGACAGACAAAACACAGGTTATGATCCCAGCTCCCCCACTCACTGACTGGGTGACCTTGGACTAGCGCTGCCCCTTGTTGAAGCTCATTTTACCTCTGCGAAATGAAAACATTGTGACTAAATGGTTTCTAAGGTTCCATTGAATGTACGATTGTGTTATCAGTCAGGATAAACTAGATTATGCTATTGTAACAACCCAAAATTTTGGTGACTTAAAACAACAGATTCATTTTTACCTCATGCTGCATGTCCACCATGGGTCAGCAGAGGGGGGCTCTGCTCATCATAGGTCCTCAGGGACCTTGCTAGCAGAGCAGCCACCTTCCTACATACTGCTGGTTGCTTGCCAGAGGGAAGAGAATGCTCTGGAAGGCCTTGCATCTGCAGTTAAACGCTCAGCCTGGAAGTAGGACCCTTTACTCCCACTCACAACTCACTGGACAGAACTAAACCCATGTTCCCACCAAGGGGGCCAAGAAGAGTAATCCTGCCATTTGCCCAGCAGGCTGAGAACTGTAACTATTTGGTAACTAACATTAACCATACAGTTTGTCTCCTTGGGATCCTTAGTAACTGTCTTGTAATAGTTTCTTCCAGAGAAGCAGAGGAGTTAGAAAGGGGGACCACCTTTCACAGCACATCCTAAGTGGCTGCTTGGGACCAGGAAGAGGGAAAATTCCAGAGAACAAATACTTCCCTCCCTTTTCCTGATTTCCCACCCCTAGGCGCAGCCCTAGAAGTCGGATCAGCTTCTCCCATGCCTTAAGGAAAACCCTAAGCACTGTTTCAAATCACCCACTCCCCTTCGGCCAAACTGCTGTCCCCTGAGATCAAGCACTGCACTTGAACAAAAGTACCAGTGTTTTGTCAGGTGATGTGACATAGAGCAGGCACTGGTCTGGTCATGTAGAGCAGGAGAATAGGCCTCTTCGTGCCAGCAGGGGTAGAAGGGTTAGGGCTGCTGAGGGACCCTTAACAAAATTTGGCTGCCCAAGAAATGGCTTAACGTCAGCTACGTCAGTATCAGGCTAGTGTCCCAGGTGAATAAGTGGCAGTTGGCGTACTCTGTGCCAGTCAGACCCCTCTGGACCACAGAGAGCAACTGCAGATGCTACCTTCTTTTCTTTTTGTTTTAATTTTATTTATTTAATGCTACTTTCTGAGTAGACTGAGCTCTTAGAATCTGTGCAGAGGAGAGCAGCAAGGGGGCAAGTGGAAATATTCCGTGAGAAAAGGTTGAAGGCAGGAAGGGCATCTGGCTTGGAAAGGAGAAACTGCTCATAGGCACAGGGACGGCTGAGTGGGAGGCGAGGAGAGATTAATTCAGTAGCAAAACCAGGACAGAGCCAGGCTTAATGGGTGGCGGCTGCAGGAGGAGCTCCCTCACAGAGCTGTGGCACAGAGCAGGGGCTGCCTTTGGAGGCTGGAAGGCCACTCAGAGCCAGCCCAGGGGTTCTGTGACCTTTTAGCTGGAAGACTGTTCTCTGGTGTCACCCTCCTTGCACTTGATCCCTTCATCCGATCTGGATTTCCCCCTTCCTCTCCGCTGAGCACCTCTTCCTGATTGCTCTGCCATCCCCTCAGGTTCTATACGCATGAACCACCCCGTGGCTCTCCCTGGATGTCAGGAGCATTGTCTTTCACTTGCTCAGCTTCTCTGTGGTCATCCATTCTTTCTGCTCTGCTTTTCCTCTCCAAGCTGGAAAAAAAAAAAACAGTAACTACCTCTTCAAAACTGTGAGGAAGAGTTTTAGAGAGAGAACACTGCCTTAGACTGGCTTCTGTCTCCCTCTACCAGTAAGTAAGCAGCATCTGCTCCTCTCTGAGTTCAAGCCCTGTGTCTGTAACATGACAACTCAGGCCTGGAGGGTGCTGAGACTCCAGCTTGAGACCTTACCTCCTGGCCCTTTGTCTAGACACGGGTTACAGCTACTCTGATCTTATCTTCCTCCACTTTTCTCCGTCCTGCATTCCCCTGCCACTCAGCTCAGCCTCTCCGCCTTCACTTCCTTCTGTGTAGTCAAATATGTGCTCTTTGTCAAAAATTTATAGTTATAGAAGTCCTCTGTCCCTCAGGAAAATTTGGAAAGTGAAATGAAGGGAATTAAATAATTCAGTACATATTTGTGAATGACATCTGTTTGCCAGGCTCTGAGCTAGATGAGAAGACAGATGGTGAAACCCTCAAGGAGCTCATAGTCTAATGAGGAGACAGCCAAGTGAACTGTGACACCACTGAGTCATCAGTCCCAGCAAAGCCCAGGGACTGAGGAAGCCCAAGGTGGCTTCTAATTCTGTCTGGGATATCAAGGAAGGCTTCCTGGAAGAGATGTCAACTGAGCTGAATCTCGGTTTAAAACATTGTAGCGCTACTACCTATATATAACTGCTATTAATATTCTTAATTGCTTGTAGTTCCATTTATCAAGTGTATCTAGGCACTAAGCCAGGTGCACTAATATGTATTTTTTCTAATCCCGTAACCAATCTATGAAGCAACGCATATTACCCCCATTTTACAGATGAGAAAACTGAATCTGAAAGAAAGCAGATGGCTAAGAAAGTCAAGTTATTACAGTAACTCTTGGGATATGAATCAGAGATTTCTTGTTATGATACTATATTTGCCTTTTCTGGACCGTGTCTATATCTACTTATATAGGTGGCCTTTTTTTAACCTGATTAATAGCCCAGTGTATATACCAGGGGTCTCAAACTGACAGCCATGTTTTATTTTGCCAACCCAGAGGTTTTTTAAAATGTGAATGACATGAATGTAATGCCTTAGAGGTTGGAGCATGGACTCTCCAGCCCCAGGCTCCCATTTCCTATTGTATCATGTGCTTGCCTGTCAGGCATTTTTGTTTTCTACTTGGTCCTGCACATCTTTGAGTTGTAATCCTAGTTCCATATTTGGAATCTGCTTTTTTTTTTCACTTATTATTTCTTAATGATTTTCCCATTTAAAAATTATCCATAAGCCCAATTTTTTATTTTATTCTGCCTTTTAAAATGTGTCACTTACCTAAGAATCTCTGTCACTTTAAGTGGCCTAAGTGATTTTCTCCTCACAGCTGGTTTGCTCAGTTCTCTCAGCATTCTCTGTGTGCGGAAGCCTCCTTGGGCCCCCTGAGAAGATCCAGAAGTGACTGAGGCTCAGCTCCTGTCTCCTGAGCTGGCCATCAGGAGAGGAAGATGGGGGAGGCAGGCACTCTTATCTCTGATACCCACAGGCTGATTTGTGCCCCACATAGAGTTTGTGGGGGCTCCGAGAAAACATGAATCACCTCCAGGCAGAACAAGCAAGACAGGCTTCATAGAGAAGGTAGCCTGTGATCTCACTTTGAAGGATTTCAGTAGCTGGAGAGTTTAATACTTACAGCTTAGACCATTTTCCCATCTTAACTAAGAGATGGAAAGGTGGAAATTTATCTCTGTGCACATGATGGCAGATAAAACAAAAATATGGGGAGCTATTCCATGATGAATATTCAGCTGAGGGGGACGCGCTGGTGCCAACTCGCATCTCCACTCCCAGATCCTCACTCCACTGAGACTCACGAGGAATTTATTGCTCATTTTAATCACATCCAGAGAATGAATTGGCAGGAATATTAGGCAGATAGGCCTATCATATATATTTTATTTGCATATCCCAGTGACAGAATCACAAGCACATTTCCATTTTTTCATTTGCTTCAGGGGTAGCTGGGGATGCAACGCTCCCCTGAGCCCACATCCCAGACTGCAAGCCTGGGTGCTCCCATCAGATCTGAGGGAAGCCATCCAGAGAGAAGGGGGTGAGATATGTAGCAGGGTAAGAGGGTTATGTTCCTCCTGGCTTCAGGTGAAGAGACACCTTCCCTGCCTTGCCTAGCCTGCTCCCTGCTTCGCGTCTCATTTCAAGAGCCGGTGTG